CACTAGCGTCACCATTGGGGCCACCCTCTACGAGTTTTTGTTGAATGTCTCAAGCTCGACCCGAGAGAGGGTCTGGAGCCAACGAGTATTTCCAAGTCTCGGGTCTCCTCTCATCTCAACTCAACCCGTTGAACTACTCATTCTTGGAAGGGTTGGAGCCAACGAGTATGTCCAACAGGTTCGCAGGACTTCGCAGCACATCTGACCACTTCGATGGTGGATTCTCCCAAAGCCATTAGTTCTACATCCGGTGGTGTAGGGAGAATCCGTGTTCTATCTTTTCTATATTTTTCTACCACCAGGATGTTTGTTTTTGGTCACTAAGTCCAGCTAATCCTCAGCATTAGCCTGTTGAAAACCCTTAAGTCATCTTAAGTCAACAAAATTGTTCCATGCGTGGGGAATCAAGGACCCTACCCAAACTAGGTCATGTTTGCCATTTGGTACAGTTCCTGTGCGCGTGTTTCTTAACCTACCCGTACGACACATCGCAGTCCAACATTTCAGTGGATGGCCATGGCCGAGGACCACAGTACATTTGATCCTTTTTGGTTCATCCCGCACAGCAACGTAGTAGTTACAAAGAATGTCTTAGTAGTAACAAGAAGCTACTAGGAACAAGTGCATCGCTTCTAGTAACAAGTGCCTTACTAGTAGTAACAAGAAGCTACTAGTAGTCCAGAGAGTGAGTCTTGTCTCCTGAAGTGGCATCCCAGTGGCTCCGCCCCGCTGCGCCCCCTGCCCGCCCAGCTCGCCCCGCTGTGTGGCTGTGTGCCACGTCCCGCCGCTGGTTTTGACCGGGCCGAGTCGCAGCTCCTTCCTGGGTCACTTTGTCTCCGATCATGTGCTTGGGCTTCGGTGGCCTTGATGTAAACACAAAGGATTCCAGAAGAGAAACAGCAGCAACCCACGTGATGTTTTCCGCAGAAAAAGAAATATGTGGACTGGCTAGCGGGGCAGTAGCCTAGGGACCACATCTTGCATGTCAGGATGGCTTGCCAATGGCCCAACCGCAAGTTGGAGCAAAACCCGTTTCAAACTACAAGAGATAAGACTTACACCCATTCCTGAAGCGGTTGTACATACAATGTTACAATGTTATAATAGTACTCATCTACCGCTTCTGTGCCATCGCTGTTCCACATGAGTACTCATCGGCCACGCTCTCGGCTTCCCGGCGGCTGAATCTTGGCTTTGTTCTGGGTGTTGTTCCCCTTGGGACGGCCGTGTAAAAGTGACCCCAGCTCGGCTGGCGCTTGGCTGTCATTGCTTCACCATCATCCAATGGGGATCATTCAACACGACAAGTCTAAATAAGTCTATCGATTCTCTGGAAGCTTCTGGTTTTTACATGTTATAACAGCTACAGTAAATCAAGAGTTCCTTTCTCAAGATCCATGTTGCAGTGCATTGTTGTGTTTCCACATGTTTGTCTCACTGGTCTGAATGATAGAAAGGTGCTGCAGTGTTGCATCCTCTTGATCATGAGAATCTTTTGTTTGCTTTACAAAGAAGATCATCCTGACTGTACAAGTATCTGGCTGGGTAAATAAATAACCTACAAAAAAGACACCATGACTTTTTCTCAACACCAGAGTATTCCTGGGCAGAATCTTCTCACATGCCGCCATCGTTCGCATCTTGGGGCCACCCCCATTCCACCGCCACGGTTCCATTTCACTTAAAGAACCGCTCCTTCGCTTTCCCGTTTCTACGGTATAGGCAAACGGCCTGGTCTAATCTCTTGAAAACTGAGGCAGCAGGTGTAGAATAGGGGGTTCCAAGCACGTTGCTTTTTCGGAGGAGCTTCACAACTCTCACCTACTCACCTGAGGTCCAAAAGCCAGCCCTTGCTGGATTCGCTCGGTGTTTTCTTGTCCCTGCTGCCCGATCTCGTCCCAAACCATCCAGTGATACGGCACTGCATCCGGGTGGCGAAGGCAAAAGCCTTCACCACAGAGTCCAGCCGCCACCAGGCAGCGCCGCCAGCAACAGCGCTGCTGCTGGCCTCCTGTCGGAGCCATGGTACTGTGACCCAAGAGGTTAGTGTGACGCAAGAGGTTCCCCCTTCTTCCTTCTTCGCGCGGCGCAGCCGCTCCAAGACCTGTCCCCAATCGGGTGAGTCAGATCTTCGCCGCGGAACCCGGCCTTCTTTGCCGCCTTCTCCGCCGCCCGCTTCGCACGGCCGGCGCCCTCGATGCGCCGCCGCTTCTCGCCCTCCTCGGTGTGGAAAGCGAAGGCGCCACCGGGGGGAGAAGCCACCGGGGGGAGAAGCCACAGAGGAAACATGGAAAGTGAGTGAGGTGATTGGAGTGATGTGGATGGATGGAAGGGATGCAAAAGGTGAACATCCACATAGAACTGATGTTGGAGTTCATGATAGTTCATGTATATGCATGTGCATGGGTCGTTCACCACGAGAACGCCCGACCGTCGTTCCACCCTCCCGCCTCGGTCATCCATTCGAACTGCCACCCATGCCGTGCACAAAGCGCCCTGAGAGCAACCAATCTGCTACAGCGGTGGCTTCAAACACGTGGCAGCCGTAGCCATCGGGCACATTGCCAACACGTTTCAGTACAAGAGCAATATACAATATATAGATAATATGGGGTGTCATCCAAAAAAGCATCCTCGCACTGGTCTGCGTTCGAGAAGACGAAATCCACTGCTTCAGTTTTGAGATGTCTACAGTTCGGTGAATCTGCGTTCGTGGCTCTGGTCGAAAAAGGCACGTTCGCCCGCCGCGTAGGACACTGCATACAACCACCCACCCTTTAGGTCTGATTATGGTGTTGATGTCCCATAAACCAAACACATCATATTTTACTAAATTATAGTATATATTCAATTATCATAACAAGACCACCAACAGGGCATAATAACAAAGTTAACATGCCTTGAAACTTCTCATCTATCAACCTCAGTACGGCATCTCTGCAAATAGGCGTGGAACCGATTCAAGAAAATAGACTGTCTCAAACAAATCTGTCAGATTCGCTCATCTCTAAACAGACAGAGAGAGAGAGAGAGCCACGGACGTTCGTCCCCACAGCGGACGGGGCATGGCTCGCGCCTCAGTCGCGACTCGTCCCAATCTTCCGGTTCCACAGAGATGTTGCCCTGGCGACGCTGGAGCTTCTGTCCTACTACCTGGGGAGGAGTTGGAAGAGTTGGACTCCATGTCGGTCACCGTTGAATTCACACGGAATACCATGGTCAACCATGCCAGCCAGCCTGTAAGTTGAAAAGGATCAGCACTGGCATGTATAAACAATAGTTAGTCTAGTCTTATCCTGCGAAAGGCTTGTGATACGATGTGCATCTCAAACCGTTCTTTTCTTTTGCGCTTTGGTTGATCACTCAAAAGCGCGTCTTTGTGAGCACACAGTAGCCAGTCACCCAGTCCAAGACCCCGTTCCCTGTCCGTTTCCAGTTGTTGAATGGTGTCCATCCGATCATCCGACCCTGACCGTGCATGTGAAAGAGAACTGGGTACAGGCGCTGGCTCTGGCATTATTCCACCCTACCCTACTCAAAAACATGGATGCTGGATTGAAACCGGCCCCAGTCATAAATTCCTCATCTGTGCCTCACATGACCTTGAATCGCCTTTACTTCTCCCCTTCCCACCAGCCAGAAAGGCTGTGAAACCGCCCCAGCCTTGGGACCTTGTGCCCTGAGTGTCTCGTTCAGCCACTTGTCCGCCAGGCTGTTGATCGTCGAGTCATCCGGCCTTGTTCGGAGGCGAAAATGCGGTGCCCGGGGCACCTGCGAAAGATCTTAGCTTCGGTTCAATCCCATTGGGATCTCCTAGTAGTTTCTATAGCTACTAGTAGTGATGCCCTTGTTACTAGTAGCGATGCCCTTCCGGGTTTGGGTACAGTTCGGTGGAAATGATGGTGCGCAGACGTGAAGAATTCCCAGCTTCTGCAAGAGTCGCAGGGTGGAGAAGGGAAACTGAAGAACACGAGATGACAACAGTCTCCGTGTCAGTCCTGGGATCTCCAGCACTAATCTGGGTGAATTAAATTAGTTTCATTAATTTCGTTCACCTCGTACCTCGTCTTAATTTCACCTTTTGCAATTGTTCATCTCGCCTCGTTTAACTTCAATAATTTCATTCACCTCGTCTGCATTTGGTGGGGGAGGCCTGAGTGCTCTGAGAGAGGTTGTGCCTGCCATGCACGTGCAAACTACTCATCGGGCCTACCTCTTAATAATAGGTTGTTTCTTGTCTTTGATGGTGGGTGGAAGAATCCCTGTAGCTCCTGGAAACTACACCCAACAGTGGCCTCTACAAGCCGAGATCAACCTTACACTATCCAGCGCTGTTTCCATTGCATGTGTCCGAACATATTATAATCTACTATATTCCTTTCATACTGTACCCCTTGGCTCCAAGAGCACAAGAACCCGTTCCAGATCGTGTCACTTCCGGAAGCTCTCTCACCGCTTACCCGACCCGCCAAATTCCTCTCAAGCATGCTTGGGACAGAAATCGGGCCTATTTCTTAAAAATAGGCTGTATTTTTGTGTTTGGTCTTCTTGCGGCTTCTGTGTGGCATGGTGAATGGAGTCCCTGTAGCTCCTGGAAGCTACGCCCAGCAGTGGCCCTTACAAGCTCAAGCCCTTTGTGCTGCTGCTGTTGCTGGACTTACCTCGCTTATTTTCGTTTTGAAATTATTCTACCTCGTACCTCGTCAGGTGAGCTCGCCTTAATTTGCCCAGACTAATTAAGAATTACGGTACACATCTGTACACCTCATAATCTAATCCCCACTTCGAAGGCATTCTATATAGGGGACATTGGTTTACTTGATCCACCCCAGCTGCTCCCAGAAAACACCTCATGCACGACAAGTCCTTCCAAGCCCACAGCAAATCACAGCAACCTCAACCCTTAGCTACATGCACTGCATCATGAATTGCTACCCCCAGTGACGCGCCATCCGTTTCACTGACTTGTTTGTCATCGCAGGCCCTACAATCTCCTCCTACTACCCTACCCTACACCTACACCCCCCCAAAAAAATGGAGAAACACGGCCTTATAAACGCACACCTGCCATTCCTGCCCGATCCCTGTTCCATCCCACGAGGTCCGCATTGACCTCCGGCTTGACCAGTGCCGAGCGGCGTCCGGCCATCGTCCGGCGTGACCAGTGCGAAGAAGCCCCAGCGGCTCTCGGCGGAATGGCTCCCGTCGCCGTCCGTCTCCCAGCGGAGCTCGATGCCTGGGCGGACGGGCGGACGGGTTTCCAAAAGGAGACCGAGGCTGAGATGGAGTGGACAAATCCTGAAAGGCACTGAAAGAGGGATGTGGAGCCCAGCGTTTAACTGTTTGTTTTGGCAGTTGATTCGCTGATGTTGGAACCATTCCTCTTGGTACAGTTGCACCAAAGCGGTTTGTCCTTTTCGACTTCAGTTGGTCAAGTCATGACTGTAAGAGTTTGTTTCTGAAACTCATGCATTCCAGACCTCCTCGGAACCTCTTCCAGCTCATCACCGAGCCCAGCCCAGTCACCCACCAAGCCCATGAGGTCCCAGGGACTGTTGGTGGGACAGCTGACGCTCGGGAAATTGCTGCTATCGCCGTAGCCGACGTGGTAGCACACATTGGACTTGGTGGCCATCGGAGACCACGAGAGACGAGGAGACCAAGGGGTGCGTCCAGTCCATGAAGTGCCAGCAGTTCACAGAATCCACATAGAGGCTACCAGCTAGCACCAGCAGCCCAGTCACTGCAGAAGCTGGGGGGCTGGGGGGTAATGTCACCCAGAAAGCATTGAAGCTTAGAGGGTTTTAGCAGACAAAGCCTGCAACAAATGCCCAATCCATGCATGTGAGCATGTTCGTTTGAAGAGGCTGAAGCCCATATCAGAATCCACAATGTCTTCACTGTGCGGATAGAAGGTCCACAACACAATTCTGCCATTGAAAACACATGTGTGTGTGTGTGTGTGCCATGGAATCAAGATTGCTGGCAAAAAGAGACTGATTGATTAAATTACAGTATATACTGTACACATTCACATATATACACCAATTTAACCACCACTGGACATCCTTACTGCCACAGAAGCTCGTACCCACACCTAGTCGAAGCAAAGTCGTGCGCAACTGCAGCTAGGGGTCCGCGTCACGGGGCTCGAAAATGAGCTTCACGTTGGATAAGCTCCTAAGGATTGAATGGGTGGTCGAAGACCCACACCTGTTGGGAAAAAATGGTGTCAATGTTATCATGTATTGTCACGGTGGAAAAACACACATGACAACATGTCTGTTTATGGATCAGAACCAAGACAACCGGGTATCTTATGGGCATCTTGCTGTATCCAGCCGCGTGGTGTAAAGGAAAGAGGGGGCTTCAGGGAGTTGAGTCTAGGAAGGAAGCACTGCTGAAGTTCACACTGCTCACCAATGACCCCACTCAAGACCCATTGAGTATTCAATCCCAATAACAGGTGTATCGGCTGGCGCCGACGTGGTTCTTTTCCTCGTTCCACGCGTGCGGGAGATGCCCCTGCATCTCCTCGAAGCTCACCGACGATGTGTCAGGCCTTGGGTGCACGCCTTCTCGCAGCGCAATGGAGGCCCACCCCCCCCAAAACGGTCCACTGGGCCGACGGTGGGCCACCCCCGCGCCAAGCGTCAGAAGCGCCTCTGGATCCTCCAAGACCTGCTGGCGGCTGAGCCTCAGCGATCCCATACTCACCCATGGGGCAGGTGGGTCACCTTCGATTGCTTCAAGGGCTGCCAGTTGATGTGTCAAAAAGATATAAAATAAACGAAAACTAGCATGTGTACACAGGCTGAACCCGGATAGTATTGATCGCTCCCGTGATTGTCCAGACCCCAAACATCTTGATGTTTGGTCCGTCAAGATGCTTCGGCTGCTCTTCTGTCGTCCACTTTGCCTACGACCAAGCTTTGGAGGGTTAGTTGAAGCTTCATACCGAGTCATGCCAAAACATGTGGGCAAATGGGACACCAATGGGGGGAAGTCACCGCTTTCACCAAGTAGCTGGTTGGATTTGAAAGAGGCTCTTGAAACCAACCGGCTGCTGGACCCTGACATAAGGGTGCATGGTCAAACAGCATCGGATCAAGAACAGTACTTAGACCTAACAAAATAGTGCACTCGTAATGTGAGGCGCAAAAAGGCAAAACACAGAGAAAGCGCCATCGCACGTATATAAATACACAACTGTATCATGGCACCATTTTATCTCATTCGGTCAGATACAAAGTTGCCAGCCCATTTTTAGGATTTAAGTCCAAGCTTATGAATCAAGCGAGGTTGATGTGAAAGGGGGTGCAGGGGGTTGGGAAGCAGCCCCCCTTTGAGGTGATGGTAGGTAACTTGCAGCTTTTGAAAGGTTGGGCACGGTTGCAAGGTGCTGCTCTATAGATTGCCATCCATTATACAAAGAGTATTAAAAACCAAATGCAACTGCCGTTCTCAAGCTGGGCGATGCTCAAGAAGGCTGGTGCCATAGGCTTGTGAGCATGATTTCAGGACCCTCAGCAGAAAAAGGTGCCCCATCCAGATTAGTGATTAGACGTTGTTGGCCATTGTTGCTAGATAATGTGTTGCGGTATGTTGTGGTCATGTGCGCAAAGCCACCCCGCGCGTACTTCACACACCCCAGCGGTTTTGCGCACGACCACCAAGCAGCTGGCCGAAGGACCTTTGGTTCGAGGGCAGTTTGAAGGTCTCGACCAAATTCAGCTGCCAACCCTCGCGTGCACCCGACCTCCGGTCGATCGAAGCATCGACGCTCGGTGACCGGGTCAATCCATCAGGGAGCAAAACCAGGGTTAATCGATGATGTTGGTGAAAGAAAACTAAAGAACACCTATAAAGAACCAGAAAAGTGGATACTGTAGGTCATACATGGGCATACAACTGTTCCACGATGTCAAACGTCACAGTTTCTGCACGCGTGAACAATGTTTCGTCTTTCACTGGTTATATAAATGAAACGTTCATCGACGGGTTTGTGCTTGCCCAGGATGCTTGCACTGAGCTGGCCCTGCTAGAGTAACTATCCTGACGAATAGATTCTTGAAGCCTTAAACAGAATACTAATACTAGCTGCTAGTATTCTTCGAAGGCTTCAAGAATCTATTCGTCAGGATACTCTAGCCATGGGAGAACCTTGGAAAAAATATTAATAAATGGTCTGGTTTGATCACCACCCCTGTCGAGCCAGTTGCACCTGCGACACAAAACCCTCCAAAGACCCAAAAACAACTGCTGTTGTTGGTCTCGGCGGGCCGAGAAGGCGCATGAGTTCGCCCAACAGATCAAGCATCGGTGATCCCACGGAGTCCCACGGAGTCGCCCTTCTCCCACGGAGCCCTCGTCCTTGTTGCTCCTAGTAGCTTCTTGCTCCTAGTAGCGATGCCAGGAGCCCCTAGTAGCGTTCTTGCTCCTAGTAACGATGCCCTTTGCTCTGCTCCTACTCGTCCCCTTCACTTTGTGTTTCCAAATTCTGCCGGTTGTCTCGCCTTCTCCTAAGGAGTTCCTATGACCAGCCGGGTCCCACCGTGAGACATCGTCTGATGACCAGCTCCGGTCATCGCCAGACAAATCGGTGACCCCAAAATAGAAATAGAAAAGAGAAAGTGTGTGTATCCTCTCGACAAATCTATTGGAAACATTTGGAAACCGTTCCTACTCCTCCATTTTTGTCACTCCCAAGTGATCTCCCTCTGCATCGGGTGGCTGCTGTGCGGGACCCTCCTCCTTAAAGGAGCCGATCGTCACCAACTGAGCAGAGCAACTTTCGAGGAGGGGTTCTTTGCCAGAGATTCTATGGTTTTAGAATGTGTTAGAGATGTTTAAATCTGTTTAAAGGCAGAGTCCAAGCCATGAGATCAATGAGATCCATGGTTTTACTCCTCAACGGATCTCGTAAAGACACGACTCCTCATGACGATTGCCATCCATGGCCCCGGAGAAAAGGGCACTGGTTGTCTGATGGGACTCTGGAAACAGGAGTCTCTGTGGGGAAAAGCTGGCATTATCAGATTTGCTTCAGCTCTGGTTTGGGAGAAGTCAAGTGAAGACAAGAACTTGGGTGTGGTTCAGGGGCTGGGCTGGTTGAGCGGAGGAAGAGATGGGGAAAAGGGTTCGACCTCATAGAAGAAGCAACGAGCACTCCTACAATTCACAAAAAGGGGGATTATGATCATGGAACATGTACTCTACCCATATCAGTGTGATTTGCATTGTCTCTGCCAACACATTCACAGGTGTTTTCACTTTCATTAGCAACCGCACAGGTCAAACTCTCCAGACCAAACACCCAAAACCATCGTATGTTCTGTACTCTGACCACATATGGTCATACCACGCATCCGTCAAACTCTCCAGACCACGTATGTATTCTGTTGCTTTCCTTATGGTGTACTCAATCCCACTTTCAAGCCTCTCCATTGGTCTCGAAGCTCTCAATCTCGTCACTGACATTCCTAACATCGTCGAATGCGCAGGCTGCGCAGGCTTTATGGCGATGATGGGGATGAGATGGGTGTGGATGAAAACCCAACAACACAATGCCCCATGGTGGGTTAACATCAACCCATAATACATAAGATACAAATATAGATATATATATATATATTATTGTGTTATGATGTGTTATATTATATATCCATATCAATAGATAAGATACTGTCCAAGTCCATTCAGGCAAACAACCAGGGTTCGGTGCCATGACCATCCACCCGGGCCTGTGCCAGTCGAAACGGACTCTCTTAACCCAGCGAAATGGACCTCCGATGTCCATCGGAGTGGGTTCCCAGCGCCGGGCGAGTGGATCAAGTGCCCTGTATCCCAATGCTCTTCGGTGGCGCAAGGATTCTTCAATGGAAGGAATCTCCTCCCACGAAAGACCAGTTCTGGGGCACTATCTTAGCAAGAAATGGCAAGGTAAGTCAGGTAAGTCCAACAAAATGCAGCAATGATGTCCTTTCCACATGGCGTTCTGACTCCGTTATTAGCTGTATCAAGAATCATCGTTCTTGCGGCCACACTCAGATATGCTGGCGGATGCATCCTGTGTCTTGATCCCAGGCAACCGACTTTTGCGATCTTTTACGTCCAGCACATCAAGCGACCGTCTCCCGACAATATATCAATCAACCTGCAAATAAGCCAGACCATCTCCCTCTGCTATCCGCAAATATATGCAGAGAGGCATAAAGGGTTCTTTGTCATAGGTGGCATGAGCTCCTGGTAGCAGCTTGAAGTCCAGACCGTTGCCTCACAAACCGAACGATGGAAATCCACACACGGTCTGGGCTGAAGCCGTGTGGATTGAGGCAACCAACCTCTCAATGACTCATTAGCTATATAATCTTACATACTGCAGGTGTCCCGATCTACACGATCTAGAGAGAGGGATGGTGCATGTGGCTGCGTCCAAGCACGACCTGCACATGGCTGTGACCCATGGCTGTGAGATCCTACCAGGTCCTACCAGGTGAAGGGAGGGCACCGTGTTCTTTTGAGTGTTCGAACGACGAATTGTTGAGTCAACGATGTGGCTGCGTCGCTCAAACCTCGTTAGCAACCTCCAAGGACACAAGGACAGGCGAGAGGCAGTGCACGGTAGAGTCTTCTAGTGAAACGAAAACATATGTCATGATCCCGAATTCAAACCATGCAAAAAAGAAATGACTCACACGCGATACCAATGTTCTGAAACGATACAACTCATGTTCTTCTGTTCAAGAAGGCATGGTGACTTGTGGCATAAACTAACCAACAAAACATCCAGTCCAAAACTGCCTTGTTTGGAGTCACGTGTCGGTTCTTAAATAGTCAACCTAAGTAACGTGTTGCTCGAAATGTTCCGCGGTGTTTGATGATATTTGATACTGTATGCGTACATGCCTGCTCCGGGGTCACCATGTTGGTTTGATGGTCTTTGATCCAGCAAATCCACACATCCAAGGAGCAAAAGACCAAACAGATGTCGTCCGCCTGGCTCGAGCCGGGCACCCCAACCGGGATGGTTACCCTGCCATGTGTGGATGGTCAGTCAACCCTCTAAGTTCGGGGGCGATCCGAAAAAAACATGCACCTTGAAGTTCAACACAGTTTCCCGTCTCGAGAGCAAAGGCGAACCTGACCCTGAAAAAAATACTATGTCTATCTATTTCTCTATACATGGACCTCTTCTGGCCTCTCGTTTAACATTGTTTAGCGTCATGCTCCAATGATAAACAATCAGGGCGTAGTGGTTCTACCCAAGGCCTGCCAAAATGAATCCCACAAGTACATACAAATACGAGATTTGAGGTGTCATCTCAGCACTGCCCTCACCACTTTTCATTGCACTCACGCCACACTCCAGGGTTTCTCCAGCCCACAACTCTCCCCACACAGACACACACACACACACACTTATGGATATGCGTACTGACTTGACAGCGGTGCCACACGCC